GTTGGTCCAACGTTTCCCAGTCGATAAAAAGTCGTAAGCAGTCGCAAACAGAGCAGCCAAGTTGACTAGCCAGTACGCGAAACTTCGGATAATATCGGCTATCCTCGCCGTGCGCCGCTAGCTGTGCACGTGGGATCCGAAAGTAATCCGAAGTTTTACATTACTTACACCGGGATGAATTTTATGTCAGTTCTATGACATGTCATTTAACTAAATTTTTTCGCTAATTAAATAGGATATGAAGTATATCCGGGTAAACTCGAGTGTCTACACACACACACACACAATGAATAACTTGACTCTCAAAAATGTCTGAAAAGTAGACTTTACAAAATCTCAAAACTTAGAGTCAGTGCTTGCGGAAACATATGGCTAATTTCATATTGTCTTGTTAATACAGTATCTTGGTGCCGGTCACAAAAGTATACTCGCGAAATTGTTTGTATACTCGGATAAAACGTTTATTTCCTCACTAAAACTCTTCTAAATTCTTAGAAACAATGCCTAGAGGCACGTATGCGCTAACTTTTTCCCCCTAGTTTCAGTATCAAGCTGTACTTAGAGCATTTTGTGATAGTTCTTTTGCATCATCTTTGCAATTTTGTAAAGTACTTAGAAAGTCGACCGGTAAAAAAGTTGTCTTCCGCATCAGAAGGTTAGTTTTCTATGCGTTTCACTTCATGATGATGAYGTAAGGGAGTTAGGATCGCTTGTTAGAAGACCCAAATGCCAATAACATCCTTTTAGCATGCACCTACACAAACGGACCGATTAAGCAAAAGATTTGGATAGTATTACTCTTTTTTCAAACATGCTTTTCCATGTAAGAATTCTAATATGAAAAACGTCAGTTTTATTATTATTTTCTATTTTGATTTTCAAACCCAAAATTGCACTTGGAAAAGGTTAACATGTAGCTTTTCGTTTCAAAGGCACTCAACCACCAACTCAGCCACCAACTCAGCCACCTACACCACAACCACCTACCCAACCACCGAGTCAAGGTAAGCTTACTATTTGCTTTAACTAAGAAGCTTTTCTTCAGTTCTCTTAAAACTTTGAACACAAAATTGCAATCCCATATCTGTTGATGTTCTCTTATGCTGAAACCACGTTAAAGGATCTAAAGAATAAAACAAAATAGAAGAAAACTACACTGAACCTGCTCAAATCTCTATGCACTTATCATTGTTACAATAATGAGCAAAACTATTCATTTAGGCATGAACACCGATTTCAACACTTTGGGGGCCTGGAGACAAGCAACCAATGACAAATTTGATTGGACACTTCATTCTGGATGTACGACATCATCAGCAACAGGACCATGCGCTGACCATTCTGGATCAGGTGAGTACTGACATCATCCATAGCCGTTGGTTGGTCTTTACTTTCTTTTGCCGAAGTAAATGGCGTTTAATTTTTTACCAACGTTTATTAATCACCTGAGTATTTATTTTAGGAAAGTATGCATACATCGAGACTTCCAGTCCTCGTGTATCAGGAGACAATGCAAGACTTACTTTTAGTGGAAATTATGATGGAGACTTGTGTATGACATTCTACTATCACATGTATGGTAGCTCGATTGGATCACTTAAGATTTACGACAATGGTGTTGTGGTGCTGAGTAAAGCAGGGGACCATGGAAACCAATGGATGAAGGAACAAGTAGGCCTGAGCAGTAACAGAAATGTGAGTATACAATAGCAAGTTAAGAAGTAAATCTACAACGCGATGACATACAAAATGTGTTTTTACAATCAATAAAAGTGTGAAAATAAAGCAAGCACAAAGAAATATTCTCTTTTTGCAAGTTATGTTGCATAATGAAAATGGATTTTGTTGTTGTTTTTTGCGAAGGAAGTGAAACCTGTGATGGGAATTACTCTTCAAATCTTCAAATCAAAAGAAAGAGCATAGGAAAAAGTATTTGCACTTACTGATATGACTATTGTAATAGTGAAAGGAGGCAACATGATAGCATCGATGAGCCCTCATCGCCAAGATAGAGATAGAAATAGAACATCAAATTCCATAAAATAGCATTTCTAAAAATAACCTAATTGAAAAAACATAGTCGGGTTCGAGAAGGTCATATCATCGAAGCTAAGACCGAAAAGGAATTTGGGTACTATGTATGTGTATAATATTTTCATATAGATATGTAAAAATGCACAGTAGAGCAAAGTCGGTCGACCTAAATGATGCATAAAATGTGCACAGTAAGGGAAAACTGCAATACGCATGAAATTAGCATAATTGTTTGTCTTCCCATGCTCCCTTTCGGTCTTAGCTTTGATGATATAACCTTTGTTGATCCCGAAAACGTTTTTTCAATCAGATGTATACTAAGTATGCTAACAAGCTGCACTTTAGCTTATAGGTTAAGTGAATTGCTTTATCCACCTCGGAATTTGATCAAGACTTTCTTTGMATTTTCAGGTGGCAATAGAAGGTGTAAGAGGATCATCKTACCAGGGAGACATTGCTATTGACGATATATCTGTCACCAAAGGACGATGTGCCAGCACAGGTAAGAAAACAACTACACAACACTTTATTGGTAACTCGCCAACGAGCTCACTTCTTTTTGCATATTCTTGCAGCTCCCCMGACCCCTCCAAAACCATCAACCCCGCCACTACCTACACAATCACCAGGTAAGACTATCTTTACTCGTAAAATCTGTGCCTAACTGGTTTGCAATGATAGGGACCTATGAATAATTGTCCAAGGTGTTAAAAAAAGGTATCTATCATTGCAAGCTCACCGTTCGTCTCGCTTCGATGCAAAGGCCCGGCTACCTTTCAAGATGGCGCAGGGAACCGTGAAGGGGACTATTATACCTATCACCTATCACCTCTGGGATCTCAGGTACGAATCTCGGACTCGACATGCCATGGAGTTACAGAGATTTTGGGTGTCTTTTTTGATTCAAGGGCGTTTTTCAAGGTTTTTCGGTTTTTAGTCTCACTGCGAAGCGCATTTGCGATAAGCTACATTCAAATTCGCACTGCGAATTAGCCATGCTCTGATATAGATAAGCCGAGAGGTTAATCCAAGGTTCAAAAAAGTATTTTTTGCAATTTCGCACAGCACAAGCAGTTAAGTAATATATACAGTATGAGTGGCCGTGTTGTATCAGATATACAACCACGAGCCGAAGGCGAGTGATTGTATATCTGATAAAACACGGACATGAATATTGTATATTACTTATGAAACGTCTAGGTGTATACATTCATGTTCTACTTTAATTTTAAAGGTAAAATTGAATTTGGCAGATATACAGATATATCAGTTATACAACCTCCTCCACGGACAATGATTTCTATTGTGTTTTCAACATTAATTATTCATGAGTTT